GAGCTCTGGCCCTAAAACCAGCACAAAATGAGGTTTTTTCCCCAAACCCAACACGAGCTGAGCACAGAACTKGACTCGGGCAGGAAATCCCAGTGCCCTGAAGCCCCAAAACCAGTGAGACCAGTCCGAGATTCCCAGTGGCACTGGGATTGCAGAACAAACAGGGCAGGGATTTGAACCCCAAATTCTCTCCTTTTGGGGTCATTCCCCAAGAAAACACCACAGAGGCATTGGGATGGCAGAGGAGATGAGAACTGACCCCAAATCCAGAACAAAATGAGTTTTTCCCCAAACCCAAAATGAAGTGGTTTTTTTTCCCTAAAACCAGCACAAAATGAGGTTTTCCCCAAAACCAGCACAAAATGAGTTTTTCCCCAAACCCAACACGAGCTGAGCACAGAACTGGACTCGGGCAGGAAACCCCAGTCCCCTGCAGCCCAAAACCAGTCCAAGATCCTAAAACCAGTCCGAGATTCCCAGTGGCACTGGGATGGAGCTGCTGGGATTGCAGAACAGCCAAACAGGGCAGGGAACCCAACCCCAAATTCGCTCCTTTTGGGGTCGTTCCCCAACAAAACCCCACAGAAGCGTTGGGATGGCAGAGGAGATGAGAACTGACCCCAAACCCAGCACAGAACTGGACTCGGGCAGGAAACGCCAGTGCCCTGCAGCCCCAAAACCAGTGAGACCAGTCCGAGATTCCCAGTGTGACTGGGATGGAGCTGCTGGGATTGCAGAACAGCCAAACAGGACAGGGATTTCAACCCCAAATTCGCTCCTTTTTTGGGGTGATTCCCCCAAACCCCACAGAAGGCGGCACAGATGGTCCCTGGGATGTGGATCCTCAGGGCAGCTCCGCGGAGGTGACGCTGCATTTTCGGGTTTTGGGGGGCGGAGGGGGAGGTTTGGCCTCTCGTCTGCTCGGCAGCGGCGGAGCCACCTGAGCAGGGGGAAAAGGAGAAAATAGAAATAATCAAATCAAATAAATATCAATAAATATCAAATTAAAATAATAAATAAATATCAATAAACAAATCAAATACATATAAGTAATAAAATCAAATAAATATAAATTAAAAATCAAATATAAATAATAAAATCAAATAAATATAAAGAATAAAATCAAATAAATATAAAGAATAAAATCAAATAAGTATAAGTAATTAAATAAATATAATAAAATGAAATAAATATAAATAGAAGAATCAAATAAATATAAGGTTTTTTTCCATTTTTTCCCATTTCTCACCTCGGCAGAGTTCCTGGGGGTGCTGCTCTCGTAGGGTTTGCTTTTGGGTGGGGGTGGGG